AAAAACTCACAAAAAAGTAGGGATGGAAGGAACATGCCTCAATATCATAGAGGCCATATACAAAAGACCCATAGCTACTATCATCTTCAATGGGGAAAAAATGAGACCTTTTCCCCAAAGGTGAGGAACACGACAAGGATGTCCATTCTCACCACTGTTGTTCAACATAGTATTGAAACTCTTAGCCTCAGCAATCAGACAACAAAAAGAAATAAAAGGCATCTGGGGCAACTAGGTGGCTCAGTCGTTAAGCATCTGCCTTTGGCTCAGGTCATGATCCCAGGGTCCTGGGATCAAGCCCCGCATCAGGCTCCCTGCTCAGCCAGGAGCCTGCTTCTCCCTCTCCTGCTCCCCCTGCTTATGTTCCCTCTCTAGCTGTCTCTCTCTGTGTCAAATAAATAAAATCTTTGGGGCACCTGGGTGGCTCAGTCGTTAGGCGTCTGCCTTCGGCTCAGATCATGGTCCCAGGGTCCTGGGATCGAGCCCCACATCAGGCTCCCTGCTCCGCGGCTCCGCGGGAAGCCTGCTCCTCCCTCTCCCACTCCCCCTGCTTGTGTTCCCTCTCTCGCTGTGTCTCTCTCTGTCAAATAAATAAATAAAATCATAAATAAATGACATCCAAATCAGCAAGGAAAAAGTCAAACCTTCACTCTTCATAAACGACATGATACTCTATGTAGAAAACCCAAAAGACCCCACAAAAAAATTGCTAGAACTGATACAAGAATTCAGCAAAGTCACAGGATATAAAATTGACACACAGAAGTCTGCTGCATTTCTATACACTAACAATGAAGCAGCAGAAAGAGAAAACAATGCATTAATCCCATTTATAATTGCACCCAAAACCATAAGATACCCAGGAATAAACCTAACCAAAGAGGTAAAAGATCTGTACTCTGAAAATTATAGAACACTTATGAAAGAAATTGAAGAAGACACAAAGAAATGGAAAAACATTCCATGCTCATGGATTAGAAAAACAAATATTGTTAAAATGTCTATACTACCCAAAGCAATCTACATATTCAATGCAATCCCTATCGAAATAACACCAGCATTTTTCACAGACCTGGAATAAATAATTCTAAAATTTGTATGGAACCAGAAAAGACCCCAAATAGCCACAGGAATGTTGAAAAAGAAAACCAAAGCTGGTGGCATCACAATTCCGGACTTTACACTGTATTACAAAGCTGTAATAATCAATACAATATGGTACTGGCACAAAAACACATAGATCAATGGAACAGAACAGAAAAGCCAGAAATGGACCCTCAACTCTATGGTCAACTAATCTTCAACAAAACAGGAAAGAATATCCAATGGAAAAAGAACAGTCTCTTCAACAAATGGTGTTGGGAAAATTGGACAGCTACATGCACAAGAATGAAACTGGACCATTTTCTTACACCACACACAAAAATAGACTCAAAATGGATGAAAGACCTCAATGTGAGACAGGAATCCATCAAAATCCTAGAGGAAAACACAGGCAGCAACCACTTAAGAGTTCGGCCACAGCAACTTCTTACTAGACATGTCTCCAGAGGCAAAGGAAACAAAAGCAAAAATGAACTATTGGGACTTTATCAAGATAAAAAGCTTCTGCGTGGCAAAGGAAATAATCAACAAAACTAAAAGGCAACCTATGGGATGGGAGAAAATATTTGCAAATGACATATCAGATAAAGGGCTAGAATCCAAAATCTATAAAGAACCTGTCAAACTCAACACCCAAAAAGCAAATAATCCAGTCAAGAAATGGGCAGACGACATGAACAGACATTTCTCCAAAGAAGACATACAAATGGCCAACAGACATATGAAAAAATGTTTAACATAACTGGGCATCAGGGAAATACAAATCAAAACCACAATGAGATTCCACCTCACACTAGTCAGAATGGCTAAAATTAACAACTTATGGAAACAACAGATGTTGGTGAGGAAACAGAGAAAGGGGAACCCTCTTACCCTGTTGGTGGGAATACAAACTGGTGCAGCCACTCTGGAAAACAGTATGGAGGCTCCTCAAAAAGGTAAAAATAGAACTACCTACGACCCAGCAATTGCACTATAGGTATTTATCCAAAGGACACAAAAATAGTGATTTGAAAGGGCACATGCGCCCCAATGTTTATAGCAGCAATGTCCACAATAGCCAAAATATGGAAAGAGCCCAGATGTCCATCAACTGATGAATGGATAAAGAAGATATGATATACATGTGTGTATATATGTGTGTGTGTGTACACATTATATATGTATGTATATGTATATATATACACACAATGTACATATGTGTGTATACACACACACACACATACACAATGGAATATTACTCAGCCATCAAAAAGAATGAAATTGCCACTTGCAATGACATGGATGGAACTACAGTGTATTTTGCTATGCGAAATAAGTCAATCAGAGAAAGACAAATACTATATGATTTCACTCATATATGGACTTTAAGAAACAAAGCATATGAACATAGGGGAAGGGAAGGAAAAATAAAATAAGATAAAGACAGAGAGGAGGCCAACCATAAGAGACTCTTAAATATAGGGAACAAACTGAGGGTTGCTGGAGGGGTGGGGGGGTAACTGGGTGACGGACATTAAGGAGGGCACTTGATGTAATGAGCACTGGGTGTTATATGCAACTAGTGAATCAGTAAATTCTACCCCTGAAACTAATAATGCACTATATGTGAACTAACATGAATTTAAATAAAATCTTGAAAAAAAAGAGAAAAATAATGAAATGCAAATTTAAAACACAATTATATACCATTCATACCCACAGATTATCAAGTTTTAAAGTTGACAATTCCAAGCATAGACAAGAATATAGAGCAATGGGAACTCTGATACATTGCTGCTTATAAGTGCAGCCACTTTGTAAAACTCTTTGATCTGGTCTATCAAAGTTGAAGACCCAGCAATTCCACTCCTAGTCAAAATAACAACCAATATTCCATTTCCCACAACCTGCAAGTATGACTCCAAGGGAGCTCTGGCCCACAGCACTATAGGTCACAGCCCCAGGACATCTGATGGGCACTAGGTATTTCCCTACTGGGGTCCAGGGACTACCCTACTATACACAGCCAGAGACCCAGAACTTTTGGGGGCTAGGTGATGGGCTCACACATCTGGAGGGGCATGAGAGTAGCTCCTCAGCAGTGACTAAACACGGCTTCCCAGGGCTGCCACAGAGTTAAAAGGAAATTTAGGAATTTGGGGCAGTGGTTTTTTAGCAACTGGAACAAAAATTGCAATGTTTTAACGGTTGGCATCCCCTTAATAATCACCTTAATATTATTTACTGGTTGCACATTAATCATAAATTTTCCCCAAGGAAACTTATGCACATGTACAACAGAATACATTAAAAGAATTTTAAGTAACCACTGATTAATCATAAGCAAAAAAACCCCCCCAAAAAAAAAGAAAAGCAAAAAGGAAAATGGATGATAATGAAAACAGACCAATGTGGATGAGTCTCACAAATTGAAGTTGAGAGGGAAAAAAAAGACAAAAGAACACATACACTATGATTCTTTCATATAAAGGTTTGTTTGTTTTTTTTAACGTTTCATTTATTTGACAGAGAGACACAGCAAGAGAGGGAACACAAGCAGGGGGAGTGGGAGAGGGAGGAGCAGGCTTCCTGTGGGGCCGGGAGCCCGATGCGGGGCTTGATCCCAGGATGCTGGGATCATGACCTGAGCCGAAGGCAGACGCTTAACGACTGAGCCACCCAGGTGCCCCTCGTATAAAGGTTTTAATAGGTAAAACTAAACTATACTGTATAGAGAACCATAAATCATAAAGAAATGCAAGGAAATGATTAGTAGACTTGTGAAGGAGAAGGCTGGGTACAGAAAGGATTCTGGGGCAGTAGAAATGTCCTTTACTTTTTAACTCATCTGTGTAAGTTTAATGAACTCTTCTCTATTATCTTATATTTTGCAATAAAAGGGGAAAAAGTAAACATCTTCAAATAAGAGCTGGGAGCAGTGGCAGTTGGCAGCTGAAATATGATAACACAAATGACATGAGAACCGGGCAGAGCTAGTATGAAAGCAACAAACAGGAAAGTGATTGGATAATAAAGGGCAGAAATGGGATTTATTCAAAGACATTATCACAGGACACAGAGCACCTGGACAGATATGGAAGAGCTTCTTAGATCGGAGAGAAACTTCCAAGGCTAGTTTGCCAAAGAAAAATGGGCACCAAGGGCAAAGTAAGCAAATATACTGTTTCTTTATTTGATTCTTGGTTTTTTTGTCTCTTTATAAATTTACTAAAACAAACTTCCTTCAGGATTACTCTCAGAAAGCAGCAATTTATTAAAGCTGATCAAAAAGATTTGAGTGAACTCATGCTAGGAATTTAAGGAAATTACTGTGGATTTGCCAAAATGCTTACTACCAAGAGTGTTCAATTAAATATTACTTATAAAGGCCAAAAAAAGAGAGACTTGAGTACCTATGCTATGACAACAAAATAGAATTTGCATCTGTTAGAAATAAAGCTAGAGAAGAATATGGAAAATATTTATAGTAGAAGTAGAAGAAGTAGATTACGAAGTATTACATACAAAAGATCCCATATAGGGATACTGAAAAAATTTACATCAAAAATCATAAAATGAGTGATAAAATTACAGGTGGATTTTGTTTCTTTTATTCTTATTTGTATTTTGAAACTTCCCATAATTAATATATATTGCATTTGCAATAAGACTCATGATATTTAAAAATATAATTCAAAATTGCGTAACAACTATCAAAAATTATATATTCATGTGTCAAAGACCGGGAAAACCATACCAAAAGCAAAAATAGTAGCATTAGAATAGAGGATTATAGATTTGTTTCTTTCCACTTTCCTTCAATGTTACTTAAATTTAAATTTTTAAATATAATTTTAATTCTAGTTTATATAATTATCTGTTAATTATATAATTAATCTCCCCCTCTCCCTCTCTCTCAGGTTATTAAATGCAAAGCAGCCATTGCCTGGGAAACAGGCAAGCCCCTTTGCATAGAAGAGGTTGAGGTAGCTCCCCCCAAGGCTCATGAAGTTCGTGTGCAGGTAAGTGGGACTTTTCCTAGCCTGTACACACGAGGCACTAAGTGCAGACTTGGCTTCTTCAGGTCCAGCCTGCGTGGCATAACTGAGAGGACCTGAAGTTTTACCTACAGCAGAACTACATTTTTAGGCCCAGATTAAAAAAAGGCATTATCCCAGGAGGGGTAAATTACTAATTATCAGTTGTTACTGATAACAGGCTTAACATTTATTTCTACTATCTTTATATTACTCATTAGCCCTAAGAATTAGACCAAGGAATTCACTTCAGATGAGAATTAGTTAGGTTTTCTTTTTGTTTTCCAGTTGCCAGTTATTAAGTGTTATTAAAAGGAAGATAAAAAATTTGGTTCAAAACAAGGGAGAGGAAAGACCTGAAGGGCTGCCTGGGGCAGTAGAAGAGGCCTAGGGGCCCACGGTGGCAGAGGGGGGGCGGGGAATGTGGGTGAGCAAGGAAAAGAGACCACACTTAGGAGACCGTGATCACAGATCGAAAGTCAGCAGAACTTCTCCATTTTCCCCACAGCCGGCCTGGCTTACATTTTTCCTAGGACCACTACAGGACAGGTTTATACATGAGAATGAATAGGATATCCTCACAAGCAGAATCCTGAAGAGTAAGGGGTATGTTAGTAACTGAGACAATCCTTTATCTGATATCTCTTTGAATTATAAAAATTGTATTATTTCTATTTCATTTCATATCATTTCAACAAAATTTGCACAAGCCCTAGAAACCTGTGTTCCCTCCATTCCCTCTTCCTAAAAGATTCTGTTCAACTTTTCCCTATTACCTTTGATTTCTCCTCTCCTGGAGACACTAACTGCCAATTCCATCTTTGTATGATTTTCCAGTGGCAATGAAAGAAAACAAAGGCTTAGAAGAAAAGAATATATGCTGATATTTTTAATTATTCTTTTTTTTTCCAAAATGTAATTCTTTTATTGAGCTCTAGGAATGTTGTAAAGTTTCAAGGTGACATTGGGCCTAAAAAACTACTCTCCTAACAACCACAATGATATGACAGAAACAGCCCTCAAGTCTGTGGTTGCCTTGTAGATAATCGCCACTGCCCTGTGCCATACTGATGCCCATATTATCAATCCTAAATTTAAAGAGGCCCTTCTCCCAGTGATCCTTGGCCATGAAGGTGCAGGAATTGTGGAAAGTGTTGGGCCAGGAGTGACCAACTTCAAACCAGGTATGTTCTTTCCTGAGTCCAATTAAATGGAAATGTCAGGATATTTCAAGGACTGATAAGAGTCCTGGCTTCGCATGCTATAGCTGATCTCTACTTATACAGGGGAGCCCCATCTGTCCCAAAGACAAACTAAGTGAGACATACAATCTATTACAGTCTAACAAGGGGACAGAATATGTGAAATCAGAACCAATAAAAATCTGGAAAATATGGTCACTTTATTTACATATAGCATTGAGAAACTGCTGTGAAGCGAAGCCACAAAGTGGGGCACAAATGGAAAATTTATAACAACCTCTTCTAAATAAAACCAAAATAATTTAATATCATAAAGAATTTAAAGAATGAGGACTTAGAGTTAGCTTGAGAAATATTATATATGTCAATGTTAGCTTAATGTGTCTTTTTGAAACTCTGTAACATAAAAATAGTATGTAAATGGAGCATGGCAATGGCTGAAATCATTTACTTCACATTTTATAACATATTCACAAAATACTGGAATATGGGTTACCTAATACTCACTTGTCATGTAGGATGACCCATATCATTCTTTCCTCCTTTAATGAGAATGCTTCAAACCTAGAAATATTTTAGATTCCATTCCCAAGCAAGATCAGAGAAACAAACCGCTCCCATAAGTTCTGCATCCATCAATGAGTCTGGCCGATGCAGTCCTAGCTCTGCCACTTGCTGGATGTGTACTCCACCAGTGAAGTCACTTTTCTGTGACACAGCTCAGATTTCTGTTTCCTAAAGTGGGGAGAAAAGGTACCCATCTCAAAGGATTGTCTGAGAATTAAATGAGATAGTATGGGTAAGCAGTTAGTAGGGTGCCTAGCACATACTAAATGGTCATCAGAGAATAGAAGCCATTATTAAATTGAAATTGAGTAAAAGGCAGAAAAATATAGAATGTGAGAGTGAGGGGCACCTGGGTGGCTCAGCCATTAAGCGTCTGCCTTCGGCTCAGGTCATGATCCCAGAGTCCTGGGATCGAGCCCCGCATCCGGCTCCCTGCTCCACGGGAAGCCTGCTTCTCCCTCTCCCACTCCCCCTGCTTGTGTTCCCTCTCTTGCTGTTGTGTCTCTCTCTGTCAAATAAATAAATAAAATCTTTAAAAAAAAATGTGAGAGTGAACTAAATGGTGACACATGGCAATGACATAAAGTTTAATCTCCATATCCAGCACATTGTTGTCCACCTCTCCTATTATATAAGGATGTTCTCTTCAATACTGGATGTTTAGAAATGTAAAAAAAAAAAAAATAGTCATGATGCAGAGAGTTGTGACGACAACAGAGCTCAGACAGGACTCTGTAGCTAGTGGTATCAATGTAGATTTGTTGCTTGACTGCCCAGCAGCCAAAAAAAAAAAAGGAAAAAGTTAAAAAGACAGTATATGCAATACTTGGGGGAATCAGTGATCTTGTAAAGCAACAAAATACTACAGCCATCTATACTTTCTGCTGAACATAAAATGTGTATCATAAAGAATGGTGTTTTCTACTGATTCATCTGGTAGAAACTTTTTACAAGCTGTATCTTAGGCACCATCCAACATATGGCCTTTCTTTCCAGGTGACAAAGTAATTCCACTCTACATGCCTCAATGTAGAAAATGCAAGTTCTGTCTGAGTCCACTCACAAATTTCTGTAAAAAACTCAGGTAAGCTCTATACACTGGTTAGTAAGACTATAAATTGGTATAAATATTTGCAGAAGTACACTGGCAATACCTGGATGAAGTTTCTACCTACCAATCCTAGTCCTAGGTGTATACAGGAAATTGTTGCAAAACTACCCAAAGAAACATATGCTAAAATGTTCACTGCAACATTGTTTATAACAGCATGTAAAAATAGCCCAATGTCCACCAATAAGACAATGGATTAACAAATTGCTATGTAGTAACACAGTGGAAAACTATGCAACAATGAAAAGGGTTAAACCTGATCTACATACAACAACATAGAATAATTTCACACACATAATGTTAAGGGAATGAAGCAAGCTTCTGACAAATATGTTTAGTAAGATATCATATACAAAACAGTACAATATACAGGGGCACCGGGGTGGCTCAGTCCATTAAGCCTCTGACTCCTGATTTCAGCTCAGCTCCTAATCTCAGAGTAATGAGATCAAGCCCCGCATCAGGCTCTGCCCTAAGTGGGGAGTCTGCTTCTCTCCTTCTCCCTCTCCCCACTCGCACTGCTCTCTCTCTCAAATAAATAAATAAATCTTAAAAAAAAAAAAAAAAGCCTATATACAGTATAGTTTATGGTTACATGTGTATGTAGTAAAGGTATAAATACATCACTGGAATGATAAATGCCAAACTCAAAATAGTAGCTACTTCTATAGGAAATGAGAGAGGAATGAAATGAGGTGCAGTAATTTATTCCAAGGCCCACAGATAAAAGTCCTAGAGCTAGATTTTGAACATAGACCGTCTAACTCCAGACTCCAAAACCTTTATCACCTTATTCTTTAATGAGACTACATACAGAAAAATCTATTTGTCCTTAATGCCAAATGAAGCTAGTTATTTCAGAAGCTAAATTGTATTACTCTTACATCTAATACTGTGCCTCAATTTCCTCATCTATAAAATGGGAATAATAATAATGCTTATTTCGCAGGGTTGTTGTTGTAGATATTTAAAGAATTACATACACCCTTTTGCAAACTTTTAATGAAATAATAGATTTTGGCAATGACCATCAATTCTTTCTAACATCACAAAAAGAGAGAGAATAAGGCATTATGTGTCTCCAGATGAAGATACACAACACCATCTTTGAAATATTCCTACAAAAATATAAAACCTAAATTAAATCAACCAGTTAGATTGAAAATACTAGTTTAGAGGAAATACAGGGATGGAAAAATGTATTAAACCCAATTACAGGGGCGCCTGGGTGGCTCAGTCGTTAAGCGTCTGCCTTCGGCTCAGGTCATGGTCCCAGGGTCCTGGGATCGAGCCCCGCATCGGGCTCCCCGCTCCGCGAGAAGCCTGCTTCTCCCTCTCCCACTCCCCCTGCTTGTGTTCCCTCTCTCGCTGTATCTCTCTCTGTCAAATAAATAAAATCTTTAAAAAAAAAAACAACCCAATTACAGGAATGTAATCAGAAAAATTCGAATGAGGAAAACTGTACAGAACAAATGACTGTTTCTTCAACATACAAATTGCAAAGGAAAAAAACAAGGAGGGAGGTGAGAACCTGTCATTTTTTAAAAGAGACAACACACATATCAACGAAATGCAATGTGTCAATCTAAAAGAATCTATATTTTTGAGATACATACTAAAATATTTACAAATGAAAATAGTAATGTGTGAGGTTTACTTCAAAACCATCCCATGGGGGAGGGTAGGTGCTGGGGGAGGGTCGGTGCTGGAGGTGGGGATTGGGGGGGTTAAAGACGCCAGAAGATCAGCCCCGAGATGGTAACTGCTGAAGCTGGGATATGGTTGCACGGACATTCAACACGCCAGTCTTTCTACTTTTATATACAGCTGAGTTTTCCATAATAAATTTTTTTTAAGAATTAATACATACAAACCCCTAAGAGAGTTTCTGGCACATAAAAAGTATTCAATAAAAAGTTTATCATCATCTTTAGACTACTTCTGACTACATATTTAGGTGTAAAGTCTCAAGTAATTTTCTCAATTTTTCTATCTCAGAAAATTGTCATAACAAAAATATAACACCTAACCTTTTTTTTCAGGAGTGTAATCAGTGGCCCATTTACATTCTCTTTTTTGTATCTTTTTTTTTTTTTTAATTTTCTAGTCCAGTGAAAAATCCTCTTGTTGATCAAGAACTACTGGAAGACAAAACCAGTAGGTTTACCTGCAAAGGAAAACCAATTTACCATTTCATGGGGACCAGTACCTTCACTCAGTACACCGTAGTGTCGGATATAAATCTTGCCAAAATCGATGATGATGCAAATTTAGAGAGAGTTTGTCTGTTTGGATGTGGGTTTTCAACTGGCTATGGAGCTGCAATCAACAATGCCAAGGTAAAAGTGGTTCATCACCAGGTAGCATAAAATAGAATTTTACTAGGAGACGGTGATAAAGCAGCTAGTTACTCTTCAAGCCCTAGCTCTGTCATTTATTACCTCTGTGGCGTAAGGCAAGTTATTTAACCTCTCCACTCCTACTCTCTGCAATAAACATCTACTACAAATAGTTATGGGGCTAATTAAATCATATTACATACGTAAGACATCTGGCCCAACAGCTGGCATATCGTTGGCACCCGGTTCATGTTAATTTCTTTTCCTATACTAATATGTTAGATTACAGACCACCCCTACCTTAAACACAACATGCTTAAATATGTCCCCTAAATACGAATGCTCACTCTGGGACAGCAGACCCAGTCAAGAGGCAACAGAAACTAGATATCCCCCATCTCCACAGAGTCACCCCTGCTTTCTCCCTGATCCTGCAGATTTCTCTCCCTCCAACTGGTGATTCATCTCTGCTTCTCATCCTGGCCCTTTGTGGTTCCAAGGGAGTGTGCGTCAGGTGGCAGCCTTGAGGGTGGCGAGATGCATCCCTGGAAGCCCATGTTAGAATTCAGAAGCTTCCACAAAACTGTTCAGTGAGAACTGGACAGATGTCAGTATCACGTGGATACCTCAAACAACCCCGGTATTGAAATCTCTTTCTCATCAGTCTTCATCCCTTGAGTTCAAACTGCAAAATGCAACCAGAGTGCTCTTTCTAAACAACAAATGTGAAGACTTCATTCCCCTTGCATACTCCACTTTTCTGTCAGCAGGCTAGTGTTTCTCCCTAACTCTCCCTTCACGGGCTTACCGTTCCCCAAGGCCTGACCCTGAGTATCCGGGCTCCAATCACTGTGACCCTGGGTTTTCCATGCCTGGCTCCCACCAACACTGCCTGGGATGCTCCCCCACCTCTTCTGGCTGACTCCATTTTTTGTTGTTGTTGTTGTTACTTCCTATCAGAAACCCTCCAGCCTCCTAGGCATGCATTAGGTGTCCCTCCCAGTTTCCCCCAAAATATCTGTGTTTATCCCTGTCTTCCTTCTTATCACACTCTGGAGAAATTTTCCATTTATTTCTCCTTCCTTTTAGACTGTTTGCTCCTTGAGGGCAAGAACTCTCTCTTGTTCATTGTGATATCTCCAGAGCCTAGCTCTGTGCCTGGCACACAGTAGGAACTGGATAATTTTTCAATGAATGAATGAATGAAGCCAGGCTCCTATGCAACCCTTAAAACATCTTGATAAGGCTTGATCCTCAGCTTAAAAATCCAAATACTCCTTTTTATCAGGTTACCTGGAATTGTTCAAGTGTCCAGGAAATAAACTCAGCCTAACCAAAATAAAAAAGCTGATCTGATAGCCAGAATATCAAGATAAGACTTCCCATTGAGAATTGGTCAAGCAGACAGGAATGCTACTTTTTGCTATCAGTATATTAAAAATAAAAAATTGTATGGGAAGTCAGACTACAATCTGAAGGCTGCTAGAGGAAGGGTATTGTTAACTGAGTGGAGTTAAAAGCAGATGTAACCTTGGCAGTCAAGGCATATTCTCCTCTAGATAGCACTGGAAGAATTATTGCTCTTTGGGCCACCCCCTCCCCTTTCCTGGACCCCATGCAGACTATCACCTTCTCCTACTCTAGTCTTTCTTCAGGAATATTAACACTAGAGACTCAGCTACAGTTTTCTTTAAAATCCATTCAAAGTTGATGTAAATTTCTAGGTCCTGTTCTTCTCACTGTTGAGGAACACTTAAACCACTTCATAGGAGCTTAGGGAAGAAAAGAGAAATGAATCTGATAGGAACAAGTTAAGAGAAGAAATATCAGTAATCCTAGCCAAAAGGCAAGAGCTTTAATAAAGTTTAATTTACTTCTGGGAAGAAAAGTAATGAAACAACTTTGTGTAATTATTGGGAGACCTGCGCCCAGCATCACCAGGACTCCTAATTCTTTTTAATCTGCTCGTATCCTTTACTGACAAATTAATCATATTTCACAGAGATCTTTGGAAGCATGAAAATGTCCCGTAACAGTGTTGTCTACAAATAGATAATCATCCACGATGTACAGTCCTAATTCTCAAATGGGGAGAGGGGTACTTTATAGTGACTCTCCCCCCACTACTGCAATCAAAGGCACTTTTACACATAGCCATCTAGTTCGTTTAACACAATTAATACAGTGTATTCCAATTATACTGTTGTGAGCTATGTACAACTACTGTGTACAACATTGCCTCAATGAGAAAAATGCCCTTCTACTCAATGACACAGGCAAACTTTTGAACAGTCTGTAGAGAAATGTATTTGGAACTATACTGAACACATGCCATAATATTAAATAGCACATTGTGTATATAGAACAATATTCTGAATATTTGTAAAAAATGTTTTATTTTGCCCTGAGTAGCAAAAGTCAGTGTATGCATGCCTGATATCATGCATAAATTAAAGTAAGAGATACACATTCTCTCTATTCCTTAATAGTTTTGTTTCCAATTTAGAATGTATCAGTACTTCCCTTGGGCAGATTCCTCTTTCCCTTTTGTTTATGCTTTAAGTCTAACAGTTCCCCATCATCATTAGAAAATATTACTTAAGCATCTCTCTGTGTAGTATTTTTTTACCATTATACACTCTCAGAATAACACATTCCAGTTACAGCAACTTTCCCTATTATCTTGTATATTCAGTTTTTATTTAATTCAATGCAACAAACATTTATTAAAGACCCAACCTACAGAATACTCTTAATAGCAATGTAGAAGATAATATGCCTTCAAAGAACTTACAGTCTTTTGAAGAAACACACAAATACAAAATCAATCAACGAAGGCAGATTATAAATACAATACAGAAAAAGCAAAAAGGTGGGCACTAATTCCTGATTGACGAATCAAGAGAAGTTTTATGGGAAGAGTGTCATTTAAGTTAGGCCTAGAAGTAGAGGTCACATTTTAATCAGAGGAAATAAGGTGAGAAGTGCATCAGGCTGAGGAAACAGCATGAACTGAGGATGAGGAAAGGAAGCCACGACAGTGTAGAGTGACTACAGCAATGGGACTACCACAGAGATGAAGCTGGAAGTTAGCTGGTCAGCTCTAAAAACCCTTCAATTTGATGCAAAGAAATCTGGATTTCATTCCATTTAAATTAACTGATGATTTGGGATGTGAATTAATTCACATTTAGAGAAACAGCACTCATTCAAAACCAACTATATAATACTAATACAACCAAATAAGGCCTATTAAAAATATAAATTAATTATGATCTATTGGAAAAGGAAAACAATAAACCCTTTAAAATGTGTGGGTTTTAAAATTCTGTTCTGATAACAGTAAAGGGAAGAGGAAAACAAGCAGATTATTTTCACTTGGGTTTGTTTCTGATGAGCTGATAATTCTAATGGCATTCAAATGATTCTCCATATTTAGCCAGTGACCCAGCCATTTTCATATTGGCAGATTTCCCCCATTAGCTATATCATTTAGTTTTATGACAGGCAGTCTTTCATTTACATGTTCCTGCCTCCACCTTACTCTCTTTCTTTCTTTCTTTTTTTTTTTAAAGATTTTATTTATTTATTTGAGAGAGAGAATGAGAGAGAGCACATGAGAGGGGGGAGGGTCAGAGGGAGAAGCAGACTCCCTGCCGAGCAGGGAGCCCGATGCGGGACTCGATCCTGGGACTCCAGGATCATGACCTGAGCTGAAGGCAGCCACCTAACCAACTGAGCCACCCAGGCGCCCTTACTCTCTTTCTTTAAAAAAAAAAAAGTGAGGCCACTTCCTTTAAAAGTTAATTTATAATTTTGCTGCCTGCAGGTCACCCCTGGTTCTACTTGTGCCATCTTTGGCCTAGGAGGTGTTGGTCTTTCCGCTATAATGGGTTGTAAAGTAGCAGGAGCTTCCAGAATCATAGCTATTGACATCAACAGTGAGAAATTTACAAAGGCCAAAGCCCTTGGAGCCAGTGACTGCCTCAATCCTCGAAACCTAGATAAACCCATCCAGGAGTTCATCATTGAAATGACCAATGGAGGTGTGGATTTTGCCCTTGACTGTGCAGGTGGACCTGAAACCATGGTATGTCTATTTTTTATAAAAGTATATAATAAATTACACTTAGTAACATTAATAAACATTGGCAATATGTTTATATTGAGATAGTTATTTTACATTTAATATTAATATACTTATATATGTATTTAATTTATATATTCATATAAATATATTAGATTGCATGTATTAATATTTAACTAATAAATATTAATATTTACTTAGTAGGTTATTAATATTTCTGTATGTCCTTCCACATGAAATTCAGCAAAAAGAGAAAACTTAGAAATGAAAATTTAGAAGAACTGTGCCTATGAGAAATAAGAAAGAAAAAAAGAAAAGGCGGATTTAGAGGAGGGAAGAAGACAGGCTGACATATGTCACCCCTAACAGCTGGAGGTATTTCACTCCCACCTAAAAGCAGAGACGCGAATAGTTAGCGATCTACAAACAATCCAGTTCTGTCCATCAGATCTCAATAAACGGGCTGCAAAATTAGGTCCACATCATAAATCTGAAATTTTCAATATATTCAATATATTACACACACACACACACACACACACACACACTGCAAAACTAAAAAGTAGATCTTTTTTCCTAAACACTACAATTTGGTATCATTCAGATTTCTTCTCTCAGGACAAGCTACATAATTTGCAGGTCTTTCTAGGAACAGGGCCCTAAGAAACTGCACCAGCTGGAGACCCACGAAGTCAGCCCTGTTTATTCTTACTCGAGAAAGTGGGGTAAAGAGCCAACCACACAGACAACACATGGAAAAGTTAGTTTGACAGACTGCCCAGCCTCACTCCAGTGAATGTTCACTTGATGCATATTTGCTCAAAGACACTAAGTAGAGTTTTGTTTTGTTTTATGAAATGACCAATTTATCGACTAATTATCTGCCTATGGATTCTTCTTATTTCATGAGTGAGATCTGTGGAGTAACTACGCATTATGCACTTTTATTTACGACTTCACTCAACGTGGCTCCCAAAACCCTCCTCTAGGGAGGTTATAAAAAATAGAATTCTGTACTTCAACTTCCCAGCAGCAGGCTTGGTACAGTTCTTCCCCTTGGTTCTTACCCAACTGATGCATTCTGCAGAAGAGAACGAAGTTGGGGAGGAGCTGCTGAAAGCATCAGTCTCCCTTCCTGCGTCTCTCCTCTCAGAATGGTTTAATTGGAATAATGTAACTGCTTAAAGGACAATTCGGCAGGTAATAAGCACTCAATAAATGTTAGCTATTACTGAAAATGCATGCATTAAGGGCTCCTCATCCTGCACTGCTCCCGTGTTCAATGCTTCAGACCCTCTTCTTAAATTATCCTTGGCATCTGCAACTTACAATGTGCTACATCCATTCTTCTACTTTGCACAGCTCAAATTTTTTTCAAACATTGAAATTCAGCCTATTGATCTTATTTTTCCAGTACAGAGATTCTCAACACTGGCTACACTTCAGAAATGCCTGGGGAGTTGTTACTGTCATTGTTTAGAACCTATGAATGGACCATATGCCAGCATATTCTCATGAGTCTAGGGCCCACATACCAATATTTTTTACAAGTTACTTAAGCTGAGAACCACTTGATCTAAAACTTGGCAGGTTCTATTATTATTTAAATTATGGAATAGAATTATACCAGAGAATCCAAATAAGAATAGATGGATTTCTTTAATCACAAAAAGATCAGCTACCTACCCATCTATCAAATTTCCATAACTAAGGAAAGCTAAATTTCTCACTTGTAGAGGAGATTCCAGTAATGCATGTGAACCTGAGTTCAATGACCACTAATTCTCTAAAGCAGCCCAAAGAATCCAACAGAACAATCAGAAAGTTACAATAACGGAACTATTATAAAGTTTTGAGAAGTAAAAGTAATTCTCATCAAAAGTTATCAGAAGCTTCTAAATAAAACCCTGTACTTGCATATAATACCCATTTTTAAATAAGTCATCATTAAGGAGATGAATTGCTTGCTTGAAGCAAAGCTCCAGAAATGCAGAAAAGGCAAACAGGGGTGCATCTGAGTGGCTTAGTCAGTTGGGCACCAGACTCTCGATTTCAGCTTGGGTCATGATCTTGGGGTCATGGGATCGAGCCCTGCATTGGGCTCTGCATTCAGCAAGCAGTCTGCTCAGGATATTCTCTCCCTCTGACCCTCCTCCTCCCCCACATACACTCTCTCTCTCTCACTCTCAAATAGATGGATAAATCTTTTAAAAAAAAAAAAAAGGCAAACAGGAAAAATATTTTAAAACTAAAATAGAGAATAGGAGTCAATGTAAATAGCTACCTACAGGTAACAAGTAAGATCTATGAATTTTCCCCTCTCCATAATCTCTCTATACAGCATAAACAAAAATATTTCTGCCATATAAAAAGTGCATATGTAGAAGAGTTGCTATTAGGAATGTTATGAATTCTCAAAACAATAAATAAACATTTATTCAAATAAAAATTTCAAAACACATTCTAAAAGTTCTAGGTCACCGCATCTACCATCGCTAGTAAGACAGACAGACAAAGAAAAGGGGGAGAATTTACTGTACTTCAAATTGCTTCTTCTTTTAAGGGCACCTGGGTGGCTCAGTCAGTTAAGCGTCTGCCTTCAGCTCAGGTCATGATCTCAGGGTCCTGAGACTGAGTCCTGCGTTGGGCTCCCTGTTCAGCAGGGAGCCTGCTTCTCTCTCTCCCTCTGCTGTTCCCCCTCACCCTGCTTGTGCTCTCTCACTCTTGCTCTCTCAAATAAACAAAGAAATAAAGAAATTCCTTCTTTTATATAGTGATCAGTAATGAAAAAAGCTGTACTTCCTATTGAGACTCTTGTAAAAGTAAAAATTGCCCCAACAAGTCAGAATTAAGTTGAGCGCTGACTATGGCAAAGGATCTAAAACAAAGTTTACACTTTCATTCTTTAAGATTAGTCTCAGAAGATTTAAATGTTCATCTATTTACCATACAGCTTCTTGTGGAATGGCCATCCGCAAGTTTGTATCTTTCTCAAATTTCTTTACATTTTCAAACCTGGGCATTTTTGTATTAACCCCAAACTTGCAGCAGGTTAACATAATATGGTTTTCTCTCTCATGGGAAGATCAGTGCAACTCCCCTGGGCCACCGCCTTCCATGCAGCAACTCAGCAACCAAGGCTCAATCAAGTGCACCTTCTCGGCTTCACGGGGGCAACACGAGGTGATCTTGGGTGTTAGAGTAGGAGAGCTCACAGCCGGCAGGTTGCACAGCGGCTTTTCTGTTTCGTCTACAAAATACCACACGTCACAATACCACACATTGTTCTGTTTCGTCTACAAAATACCACACGTCACAGAGCCCATGGCCCTGAAGTAGTTACGTGACTCTATCAAACTCTGAGAGCTGAGGAACCTAGAGAAGCAGATGAAATGTTTTATGAGCAAGAGCCTGTGTAAGATTCTGTTTAACTGTGCTGCTCTGTTTTAAAAGAGCACTTTTTTATTTATCCTACACTGAGATATACCAAGTTTACAGCGTGTACCTCATTTCCTAGGTTCTAGTAAATACGTATTCATCCTCTCTTCATGACTTCAAGGATTATGTTTTTGTGCCTCTGAAACTGCAAATCTTTTAGTACATACCCACAGCAGATCACCGAGAACTTGATTAGAATGTATAATATTTATCTTCTAGAGTTCTTTCCTAACTTCACATGTTTTTTCTTGGTATGCAATGAAATACACTCCAGGTTCAGCCTAACTATGGTATTAAACAGAAAGAAATAATAGGTTCTGTTTCTTTGTAATATCTTGTTTTGATGAAGTTCAAATTTTTAATGAATGGTCTATCTGAAACTGAACAGTGGCGCTTCGAGTATCAATCAACAATACCATAGCCTCTTTAGCTTGAGTACTCTCATATGCAGAGTTGTATAAATTTTCCCTAAAGCATTGTACATACCTACACTAGAGTTCATGTTCTACTTGTTCTACTTATTCAGCTAATCCTTTCTGTTTGACCTTCCAGAGAGCAGCCCTGGACAGTACAATAGTAGGCTGGGGATCATGTACTTTCATTGGAGTAGACTCTGAAATGAGAGGCTTGATGGTATCTCCAGTGGAGCTAATAATGGGCCGTACCATAAATGGAACATGCTTTGGTGGTCAGTTTTTTTTCTCTTTTAATTTTCTCCATAGTGGTATGCAAATTCTTATAAAGAAGATTACTGAATAGAAAGGAAAACTGTTTAAATATTGAGTGCCTAATAACACATCTAGAGACTGCACAAAAGTTATTCTAGGAATTATTTGAAAGTAAACAGTTTCTATATATGGATAACTACAATTTGCAAACTGAAATTCAATTTGCATTAAAATGAACCAACACAGAGGAACAAAAGGTAAACTTTGACCAAACGGAGATAATTCCTTATCTAGAAATAGGAACTAATTTTAACATTTCTTATTAAGAAAAACTTTTAAATAAATAAAAGTGTAGAAAATTAAAGATGGGAGGGATAATCCATTTGAAGCAACCCAAATCTTACCTAGTAATTTCATTCACTCAACAAACTGATTAAACTACTGTCACCTACCATGTCTTTACTTGGCATTTTGGTCAAATTACAGGTTGGAAAAGCATCGATTCTATCCCAAAGCTGGTTACTGACTACAAGAATAAGAAATTTGATCTGGACATACTGGTGACTCATACCCTGCCTTTTGACAAAATCAATGAGGCATTTGACCTGATGAACCAAGGCAAAAGGTAAATTAACAAACAGAGGAATAAGTGGTTTGAAAAACCTTTATGATGACTCTTTATTTGATGTTAAGAACTAACCAGTTTGTCTTTTCTGACATTTTCCACATCATCACACATCCTAGATGTGCTTGAAAGATTAAGTAGTGGCCTCTGGAAAAAAGAAAAGCTTCCTACTCTATTTCCATAATATACACTGCCACACACTATCCCAACATAGAGTGGTGATATAAACTGATACATATTTTCCCTTTCACAAACAACTGTTAACTCAGTTGGGGCTGCTCCCTAGAAAGAAAGGTTTCCACAGTATAAAGTCAGGTCACTCTGGTGCAATACAGCCCTGGGTCTCGCATCATTATGTTCTGCAATTAACAAAAGAATGCCCACTCTAGGCCCTTCATGATCAGAACCAGGTGAAAACCATGGATATGTGAGCAGTGAGTGGCTCGTTTAAAGAAACCTAAAGGATGACCCAACGCTCTCTTGCTTTGTCCCAGATCTCCTATAAGATAACGTTCTGATCCACAGTTTTAGCTATATTGTGCTCCTCTGGCACAGACCCTGAGAACTAATTTATAGAAATGTCCCAACTGGGGGATCTGTAGCAATTGAGGAGCAGGGGACACTAGGATCAATGATTTTGGTTAAAATGATCAAGCACAGCTTGGTCAATAGAAGCAAAAGGAAAAACACCAGGAACAGTTTCACAGAGGAGATGAAGGACCAAATAAGCAACAAAAAGAGAAGATATCACAAAATAGGGAGGGGGGGGGAGCCTAAAGTTAAATGACATGAGTTTGAAGCAGAAAATAAATGTGGCAAAAGAAGAAAATGGGTCCATGATGTGGGGACCCAGGCTACTTCCTGGGAAAGAAACCTGAGAAATTATTTCTACTGACAGGAACTCTCTAATTTTCAAACACACTAGGTGCAACGTATCAGAAAGAAGTTCAATAAAAAGAAAAAAAAAAAAGAAACATTATTTAAGCTACACAAAATAACTTAGTGTATAAGCCCTGCAATATCTTGCACAATCTCAATATCCCCATAAGGAGCAGCCCTTATGTCAGGAGTTAGGTTGGGAGTTCGGGGCCTTAGACCCTAAAACTCTTATCTCCTCCACCACCACACCTTTTCCCCTAGAGTTCTCAGTTATGGAATATATCCACAAGGAATGCTAAGTGGCAGCTAAATGGAAAATGGTGAATTACTTTATTAACAGCTGGGCAAGTCTCCCATACTCTTAAAGTAGGCCTGATAATCAGTGGAAGAATGGAAGGCCGAGGGCTAGATACCTGAATAAGGCCACCTACTTCCCCTCTGGCTCACTGGGAAGACCACATTACTGCCCACACCGATGGAACGGTGACAGTGGAGAAGGCAGAGGATGGGACTTAGCATATGGGTATAGAAGCAAGGAAGTAGAGAGAGTACAACACCCAGTTGGTCTTTTAAGGTGCAGTGACCCCAACTCATGGTGAGGAAAGGACACAGAGGTTCTCTCTCCACAGGCAGACAGATGTAGTTCCAGTCTCTGGGTGAAGACAACATCATGGATGGCAACCTGCTAATGCCAGGGATTCCACAGCTCCAGCAGCAAGGTGGAACATACGGAAGTCTCTGTTCTTGAGGCTTACCCCCTGCTTTGCTTCTGCGTGTTGAAGGAATTATCCAGGAGTAAGAATATTTAGGTTCTCAGAAAGCATCATCCCAACACACCAAGCAGTTACTATTCCAAGATGAAAACCCCACTACAACCTTAGCATGTTTACTCTGTAGCACCATCAGGCAGCACAGACCTCACCCAGGGTCACGTGAGGGTCCCCAACTTTTCCCAGCTTCCTAGCATCATATACAAAGTATTATTAATTCCATGAATGTCAAGATAAAAGAAATTAGGGATAATGTGCTAATTTCTTTTCTTGATAGATGTCTATAAAGAAAGATTAAACCAAATGCTGAAAGAAAAATACAAAAATTATTTGTGGGTTTTGGTTAGATTTACCATAAAAATTATGCTATTGTCTTATTATTAACAGCATTCGAATAGTCCTGACCTTCTGAAGACACCAGGAACAAACTGGAATACTACCTGACTGAATCTGAACCCTTCTTGTTAATTTATAACCTGTAATAATGAACCAAGGATTGCCATGAATTTAAACAACTATTTACAGTTAACATCTCAACATCAAATAGTTATAAACATCACAGCATTTTAAAATATATTAATATTTCCTGTTTAGTAATTATGATAACTGATGTGTTATTGAATAGAATTACATGATGAGAATTGTTTAAAACTAGTTCTGGAGAGGTGGGAGCGGGGAATGAAGAGTAATAAGTAAAGCTAGATTGGCTGTTTGTTTATAATTTTTTAGGTTGGGTGATAAAGATGGGGTTTCATTACACTGTTCTCTCTACTTTTGTTTATGCTTAAAATTTTCCATAATAAAATCATTTTTACTAGAAAAAAATTACTATTATATATGTGTACATAAGATACATATGTCTTTAAAATATGTCATATATATAAAATGCTATTACATAATTTCTGGGTTTCAATAAGCTACAAGCTAATCTTCTTTAATAAGCTGCTAAATAATTTCCTTTTTAACATCTGGTATTTTCTTTTCTCTTAGCCCTGTTTTACCACTACGAACTGTAATCACAAGCAGTGGGATATCAGAAGCTATATAAATGAGTATAGATATATAAAAAATGAAGATTTTTTAAAAGAAAAAACACACCTATACTCTCAAATTTCCATCTTTATTAATTGCCCTTTTCACCTTTGATAATCATGACAACATATAATGTTTAGAGCTTTAGAGTTTAACAATCGTAATTAGCACTAAGTATTTTTTATAGTCAATTAAAAGTGACAGAGAGCAAAGTACCTATTATAAACGCAGTAAGTAAAAAGTTACAAGACATAACAGACAATTAGATTTATATAGGCTTTAGTGGGAAAGGAGGGGAAAAAATTAAAAATAAAAAAGATTTATATGAAAAGCAAAATGAGTGTTTTCAAACAGTTATCCTCATAGATGCTACAATGGACAGTTTAAGGATAAGAGATAATAATTTGGATGGGAGTAACAAACACTAGCTATCAGCTTAGCCTAATTCCTGAAACCCCCTAGTTTTATTTTTAAATGTTTACCACATATTGAACTCTGAGAGAAGATAAACCTCTCGGAAGCTTTGGCAGAGGAGGCTGATAATATCTCAAAGTAGAAACTTACATTCCTGCTTATTGCAGACTCTCTTTCGTTAGAAATGGAAGCCAGTTCATCTGTCTGTAAATGCTTGCTTTATTGGCATTGTGGGGAGTAGGATGCACCCAACAGGGGGCTGTCCTTTCCCACACTATTCCCTGTATCAGGTGTGTTCTGTCTCCTCATCCCCTCAGCCTCCACTCCTCAATCTTTCCCCAGCCTTGCTTGAGACCCACCTCCTTTTCAGCTGTTGACAGCCACAGAGCTGTTTCCCTTCCCTGATCATCTTTGGCTCTTAGTGTCTTTATCGAAAACTTAACACATGCCCCTTCCATTGTTAGTTTTTCAAGCATGTTTGTAAACTTCTTGAAGGCAGAACAGTCTTTGAATATATCCCTCTGTTAGATATAATAAATACATGATGCTTAACAAAGTTTATCCTCACAAGTATCTGGTTTATTTTAGAATATTTCTTTTGAATGATATTTTTCCAAAACATTTTCTACATGCCCCTTTTTTTCCTAAATAGAGATTCATAAACCCAATCCTAATAACTCAGAATGGTCGTTATGAGGATTAATTTTTATGCCAAGTTGTGTGATGCAGTAGTTTCTCTCCCTCTCCCTCTCTCTTTCCCTCTATCTCTGCAATCACTCCTGCAAGTCAGTGACCCCTGCCTCTATTCATCTTCTAATTTTCCAAGTTTGGTTATGTGACTTGGAAACAAACAAACAAACAAACAAAAAACTTCATTATTCTCCACAATGCTGTTAAAATTACTTATAGAATCAGTGAAAACCCAGAATGATGTGTATGAGGTTTAAAGCTTAACTTTGATCATTCCTTTGGCAGCGGAGACCTTTTTTCTCATCCGTGCACCCAGCTGAAACTCCTAGTATATGTAATTACAATATAATTCTTCAAAATGTACACCTAATGTCTAAGTCACCCAAACATCTTTCTTAAAATGAGAAATGAATGCTGAATCTATATGATACTCCAGAAACCAAAATCATGCACCAGTAATGCATTTGGCAATGTGCAGAAAAGTTCCATTTAAAAACTGCCCTTTTTTTTTTTAAAGATTTTATTTATTTATTTGAGAGAGAGAGAATGAGAGACAGAGAGCATGAGAGGGAGGAGGGTCAGAGGGAGAAGCAGACTCCGTGCCATGCAGGGAGCCCGATGCGGGACACGATCCCGGGACTCCAGGATCATGACCTGAGCCGAAGGCAGTCGCTTAACCAACTGAGCCACCCAGGCGCCCTGCCCTTTATTTTTTTTAAAGATTTATTTATTTATTTGAGAGACAGAGACAGAGAGAGAGTGCGGGCAGGAAGAGGGGCAGAGGGAGAGGGACACAAGCAGACTCCCACTGAGTGGGGAGCCCGACGCAGGGTTCAATCCCAGGACCTGGAGGATCATGCCCTGAGTTGAAATCAAGAGTAGGACGCCACCCAGGTGCCCCTAAAAATTGCACTTTAAAGACATAAAAATAAATCTGCAAGCTACTGACAATTATGTTTCTCCTAAGGGCTCTCACATTCACTCTTCAATTTTAAATGTTACTTTTTAAAATACCAGGGGCAACACACAAATCACAGTATTTCTAGGGTACCAAGTTACTGAAACAAAACTGGAATGGAATTTGATCCCTCCAAAGGGAAAAAGAAAATTATTTTAAAGGTTTGGATTCTCTAACATAGTAAGATATTCAGGTCTATTTTGTGTGTGTGTGCTTTCTCAGCCTGAAATTATTACAAAACTTTAAGAATGTAAGTTAATAGGATGAACAATACTTGAATTTAGAAGGCAATACAATCATGATATATTTTTTTTTCAGTTTTTTTTTTTTTTTTTTTAAGATTTTATTTATTTATTTGAGACAGAGAGCATGAGAGACAGAGAGCATGAGAGGGAGGAGGGTCAGAGGGAGAAGCAGACTCCCTGCCGAGCAGGGAGCCCGATGCAGGACTCGATCCCGGGACTCCAGGATCATGACCTGAGCCGAAGGCAGTCGCTTAACCAACTGAGCCACCCAGGCGCCCCAATCATGATATATTCTTCTGACAAGAAAAACGCAGTTTTAAGATATAGTCCCAGTCTCTCCAAACATCTTAGCTTGTCATTGTTTTCTAAATGCTACTACAGCGCCCTCTGGTGTTCTTTAAAACATTTTTCCCATCTACCCAGATCCTATTTTCTTGGGGGAAAAAAAAAAGGATTCAGGGAGAGAATAACAAGTTTCATTTATACCATAGTTGACATTTTAAAAAGTACTTGCGGGGGCCTGGGTGGCTCAGTTGGTTGAGTGACTGCCTTCGGCTCAGGTCATGATCCTGGAGTCCCGGGATCAAGTCCCGCATCGGGCTCCCTGCTCAGCAGGGAGTCTGCTTCTCCCTCTGACCCTCCTCCCTCTCATGCTCTCTGTCTCTCATTCTCTCTGTCTCAAATAAATAAATAAATAATAAAATCTTTAAAAAAAAAAAGTACTTGCATGTGCATTATTCCATATGATTCTCCAGAATTTTGAAATGGACCATAAATTTTGAGAGCAAGGCCATTTTTCATATTCTTTGAGTGCCTTACAGATAGGCCCTCCAGCAATGTGCTCTATCAGGTAGACAGGGCAGAATTTATTAACTTCATAGAATAAATCCTATGTTACAGGGAAAAGAGACTTATGAAGACTCTCATAAGCAAGTAAGAAAAATCTTGAAGGTTCACAGAAACTTCAAGCTGAACATGATCTTAAGAATGGATGGTTGGGGCACCTGGGTGGCTCAGTCATTGAGCATCTGCTTTCGGCTCAGGTCATGATCCCAGGGTCCTGGGATCGAGCCCCACATCGGGATCCCTGCTCAGCAGGAAGCCTGCTTCTCCCTCTCCCACTCCCCCTGCTTGTGTTCCCTCTCTCACTGTCTCTATCAAATAAATAAATAAAATCTTTAAAAAAAAAAAAATGGGACGCCTAGGTGGCTCAGTCGTTAAGCGTCTGCCTTCAGCTCAAGCCATGTCCCAGGGTCCTGGGATCAAGCCCCACATCAGGCTCCCAGCTCAGCGGGAACCCTGCTTCTCCCTCTCCCACTCCCCCTGCTTGTGTTCCCTCTCCCGCTGTCTCTGTCAAATAAATAAATTCTTAAAAAAAAATAAAGAATGGATGGTAACACGTAGGAGAATGTCCCTATTAGGAGATACTTGCTGAAGAATTTAAGGGTAAATTTCATGAGATTTGCAACTTCCTTTCAAATGGCTCATCAAAAAGTGGGGGGGGGCGTCTGGGTGGCTCAGTCATTGACCATCTGCCTTTGGCTAAGGGCATGATCCCAGAGTCCTGGGATCGATCCCCGCGTTGGGCTCCCTGCTTCGTGGGAAGCCTGCTTCTCCCTCTCCCACTCCCCCTGCTTGTGTTCCCTCTCTCACTGTGTCTCTCTCTGTCAAATAAATAAGTAAAATCTTAAAAAAAAAAAAGTGCGCAGGTGTGTGTGTGTGTGAGAGAGAGAGAGTAAATTTGACCAAAAAATATTAATTGGTAATCTAGGTGAAAAACATAGAGGTATCCATTGTCCTGTTTTTCAAATTGTGAAATTGCAAAACTTTTCAAAATAAAAGTTGGGTCAAGAAAGATGGATATTTCCCAATTCCAAATTAAATAAATATATCACTTTTTAAAGTATGCCTGACAGGTGGTCAGTCAACCCTAGATTAAGCACCCTCACAGGCCAATTTTTTTCCTTATGGTTAAAACTAAAGTCTGCCTCCCTAGTTCTGCCCTCTGGAGCATCACAAAGTTTCTCTAAATATACTTAGAGTCAATACTCCACATGCAGTGTGAATAACAGACCAATAAATGCAATCTGTATTTATATATTCTTTAGTCAGCCAGCTCCATCATTGACAAATATTGAGGTGTATAAAATTCCTAAATATTTCCTCTCTGGAATACTACTAACCAGAATGCTCTTATTCTATCACTTTAACCCAAAGATAGACCATTTGTCTTCTCCGAAGTTTCAAGGTCTTCTTAGAAGGAAATTATGAGTAAATAGGCATTTAATAATATAGAAAAATTATATCCTCTTTATTTTATTGCTATTAAATAACATTTTTTATCCTTTCTGCCAATAAACTTGTTTTATAGGCCTACTTACAATGTAGCTAATAAAATTTCAGAACCTGACCTTAAAAATAAAAATGTTTATAATTAACCAAAGGAGTCTGAGAAAGAGATGAAAGAGATATCCCTTCTTGCAGATATATAAAAAATAAAATAAAATTCTGCATCATAAGCTACTTTTAAAAACTTGGTTTGATAAGGTATTAAATTAAAAAGGTTTCCAAAAGAGACAAACCAAAAAACCAACTCTTAACTATAGAGAACAAACAGATGGGACCAACCAGAGGAGAGGTGGGGGGGGATGGGTGAAATAAGTGAAGGGGATTAAGAGTACACTTACCTTGATGAGCAGTGAGTAATAT